TTTTTTTTTTTTTTTTTTTTTTTTTTTTTTTTAAAAAAAAAAAAAAAAAAAGATTCAAGTAACCCGACAAGTTGAATACTCATTTACATGCAGCAAAATTAAAAACTATGCCCCATCCCCAATCGCGATTCAGAAGGGTTGAACCCTCTGTGAGAAATTTAGAAGCCATCGACGGAGACTGTTCGGCGATACAATAGGCCCGAACGCACCAAGTCATATAATTGAGAGACTAGTTATGCCAGCGACTTAGTCCGCGTGGTATAGTTATTTTGGACATAAAAATTTGTTTTTGCAAAACTTCCTGTACCTATATAAATTTAAGCTGTTACCCACGACGCCGATGGCGACCCGTCTATCTTGCAAGTTAATCTTAAAAGATCTTTCACACACATGTTTGGACTATCTTGAACCGTATTCGCATAGCACGCAACCATAACCCACGGATAATTGTGCCCGTTTTCTACACATTTCCCGTTGTACTGTGGCCCCTTTTATTTGCCGCGTATGTTTTATAGCTATAATCTTCCTAATCAATGATTCTAAGCAACACAAATGTTTCAATTCGAACCAGTAGTTGCTGAGATTAGAGCGTTCAAACAGACAAACTCTTCAGCTTCGTATTGATTCGCTATTACAAATATTCGGCCCTATACAATAGTATAGGGCGCGTCGATATCAGTAGAATCGTGGGACGAAGAGGTTATCGTTAAAGTGACGTAATATAATGGCGCAAGCGACGGTCACAGAGCACCATTACTCCCTTTTTGTGGTCACCGCTTTCTAAAAACTATGGTATTCGTTTCGACGCTACGAGTACCTTCGACAGACGTGAGAACAGTTTTCTTATTTTTTACGATTGACAGACGCTAATCGTAGCAGATTGTAAGTGATAAATCACTTTTTACGATTTATATATAGTATATCGTTGGTAGGGTTTCAGACCACGTTGGCTACTGCTGCACAGCTTTCGAAACGTCGATAAGTTAATATATATTACGCGGTACAAACGAAATGCCAAAATTAAAAATTATGGGATCACTTTTTTTATTTATCGGACCCCTCATAGGCCAGAAGTTGAGTAAGTCTATAGTTACGTTACATTACCACGATTTGTACTACTCCGTTTTGCGTAAAACATCGATGTTTACCCGCGCAATTCACATGCCTTATCGACGAATTTATTTTCAGCAAAATAATAATATTCCCCGCTTACGTAACCGTCGAACTTGTTTGTTATCAGTTATCGCTTATCACATGTGCAATCTAACGTTTGAAACCAAATATAATATACGAAATTAACGTAGAAAATATGGTAGTAGGTAATTTTTGCCAAAACAAGATTATCATTGTTGTATTATGCATTAATCTGTAAAATTCGTAACTAATACTTTGAATCGACACAATTATTATCAATACTGTTTAAAATTTACTGAGTAAATTACCAAAATGTTTTTGTCTCCTCGTGAATATTTTATAATGGACTCAGGATCTTCCAAAAAATGTCTATGAAATAATGCAACATGAATTTTACCTAATAATGTAAACTAGGTAGACACCAACAATGGTTGTAATTTGTACTTTGAATTAACAAAATTAATGTTTATTCTGTTTTAAAATTAATAAGTAAATAAACATAATTGATAATTGTATTCAGATATGGTCGGCGGTAGCTCCGAACATTGTCTATGGAAAAATGTAAGATGAATTTTACGTAATATTGTTCGCTAGGTGGACGCCAAAAATGGTTCTAGAGCACGGCCTTGAAACATGACGTAGTGCGAATGGCCCAGTGACGCGTTGTGACGTGCAAATTTTTTCGCGGAAATTCCAGCGCGGGCAACGCTCGCAGTCCGATTCATCTTGATACATAACGTAATATTGTTAACTAGCAAAATATCTGGACAACAAGATATATCGTTAGTTAGTAGAGGAAAAGGAGGACAATTGTGTATCGTATGAAATTATTTTTTAAACTCTCAATTTAGACATAAGATTTTAGTAACAAAAGACGACGACAATCTCATTCTAAGTCTATTGAAATAAAGACTTTTATTATATGAATTGATTCACGTAATTGCAATTCTTAGATACAACTGACAGCTTTAATTTAAGCAAATTTAAACCTTAAAGCAACATCATACCGTTTGAAATAGAATAATTATAACTAAGGAAGTTAATCTTATAATTAAAATTCGTGTTAATTTTAAGTAATCTTAATGTTAGATTTTGGCAAATCGCTTATATCTTACATAATAAATATACTTATTTAATTACTATTACATTACAAACTTTATCGATTTACGGCAGCGAGGTAAGAGATGGGAGTTGCTCCGACATAAAAACATGGCCTATCGCAAAAAGTAGGGCAAACTGCTTGACACAGTTCATATTATTCGTGGGTGGCGAGCCCTACCAGATGTAGGTGGTTCGTGACGCAATTTAGACAAAGCCGAAGGGCATAATTGCGACATACTAATTCACGATGAAGAAAGTATGGATGAACACTATCTGTAGTTTACGCGAGTACTACACATTTAAATAAAACACTTTAACGGTTTAAAACGCGACGTTTCGGAAGCTTTGCAGCAGTCGTGCTCACGGGGAGACAACGTCGGGCCGTAGTTAACAATAATTTTTAAATAAGTTTAATTAATAAATATAGCGTTTAAAACTGTTAAGTGTTTTATTTAAAAGGTATGGAGCATGGGTGAGTCAAATCCTAAGGAGGTCAATGACAGAGAAGAGACGCTCGCAACGAATGCATCGAGTTCCGGTGCACTACGAAGCAGGTATAAATAGCGATCCGTTAGTGTCGACGACCGGGCGCAGTCACCATCGTACCTTTCTATAGCTAGATCCTGGATCCTGACCTACATACTATTACGTAGTCGATTAGTTTTATGACTTGGGTTTAGCGTCTAGACGAAAAACGAAATAGGACAAAGATGAAGGGCGCGGGGTGAGCTAATAACATACGCCCTTAGAACAATTTAGTGGAGGAAGGGAGGTGCGCGCGCGGCCCCTCTGTGCGCGGTTACATGCGTAAAAGGGCCGGTGCGGTGCGTACGTGACGCGAACACGGGGGTACAGGGGGAAACGAGCCCCGCCCGCACATCTCCGCAGAGTCTGCATAGATGCACAATTTGACTAGGGTCGGAGACGGCCGATTTCGGGGATCGCAGGTCAGCCGGTTGCCATGGCAACAACGATTTAGGTATTACAGCGGGCACTGCACTGAGTTAGACTTCGAATAATTCATTTTCCATCAATACATTGACTAAATATAGTCGCTCGAAAGTAATCGTGACTTAACATCGTGGAATATCGGTTTCTACAATAAAGCAAAATCCCATATCCGTGTGGGGCTTGGGACGAACACATTTTTGCGTCCGTTTCATCGATCATTACAGGCAAGTAGTTGATCAGATTTCTATGCTTTGCCAGACCGAAACTATCTATTGTTTGCACGTGATTTGAACCCAGGACTTCTCGCATTTAACGCATTGCAACACCTTTAACAATTTAGCTACCAAGGTGATTATCCATGTTAAGAATAGTTAAACAATAATACTGTCTTACGCAACAATGGCAAAATCAATATTCAAACATATTTACAGTACAAATTCACGAATACATAATTTCAAACCAAAATCTAGAGAAGAATGGAAAAGGCACGCGCCATTTAAATCATAAACAACCGGCCGTCATAAAAATTGCCATTTGTGAACTGCATCAGGGTGACTTTAAGGGTCTTTGACACTGCCAAGGATGTAAGTCAAAGACCAAGAGAGATAAATGCTTAATGCAACTCGTTTTAATAAAAACACAGCCATTTTTAATACTATAATAGTTTACGAGAGTAGCACACACTCAAATAAAACACTTCAACGGTTTAAAACGCGATATATATTAGTTAAACTGATTTGAAAAATATTTTTAACTACGCAGTTGGTATACAGAATGTCAATGTCATTTTCAAATAAGTTTAACTAATATATGTTGCGTTTTAAACCGTTAGTGTTTTATTTAAATAAAGTCATATTCATAAGAAGTTACTTTTCACGCTAAAGTAGCATTAGTACTGTTAAAATCTATCCTTGAATGCCACGGCGCCTATAAGTAATAACTTATAAGATTTTAAAAATCCGTTTTTAGCTTTAACAGGATTGGCAGCAATAAGCGTATAGCTAATAATCATCGGGTGGAATTTTTCATCCCCACCGGGTCCGACACGTTGCAACAATCGGGATAATAAACGGGTGGTAGGAATATGGAAATTCCGTCCAGGTCACGTGTAATTGTGGTAAAACAGAGGATTTTTTAATCGCGTCTCTATGCTTGCCTGTCCTCTATCGCAAAAAACGTTCGAAATATCAAAATTTTGCAGTTGTAACACGAGCCGTTACTATAAGTGATAAGCACGATAACTAGTTACTACGTGATCACTTCAATATGGCATAGCATTACGCAACCACGTTATCTACGATAGTTATAATCGAACAGAACAATTTTACTAGCGACGCTCAGCTCAAGTATTCAAGAACATCTACATTAAATTGTGGACAATTTAAATAGAGGTAAAAAGGTGGGCATGGGTGACACTATACGTTTCACTGAACGATTTCATTGAGAAAATTCTGGCTGAATGTTTACGAAACCGAAAAACGTGTTTTAGGATATAAAGAATAATCATGTTTAATGATATACTAATTTGCCATAACAGACAAAAGACACAAAATATACAAAAAATATTGACGATAGTGAAAATACTTTTAAAAACTACTTTAATTTACGACACGGGCAGGACTTGAACCGGCTTCTACAGCGTTCTCTGCTGATTGCTTAGAGCAAAATTTTAATTTAATGGAAATATTTAGTAATTATTTATTGTATTAAAGCAAAGATGATACTGGCGACGCAGTTCTAGCCGTACCGTCGCTGGAGGGTTCGACGGCTGTTTTTCTACCATTTCCTCTGGGTTAAAGGTTAGATATATTCATATGTGGTTAAACAAAGGCAAAGACGCAGCTGATGCGGTGACAGGTGCGGCAGCAGCCGGCTTACACCTGCCCCGCACGCGCCACCGCAAGCTGCTCTATTACAAAACATTCCTTCAGAACACGTAAAGAATTTAGCAGCTGACCAAAAGACACGACGGGGATAGCCCACCACTTAACATCTAAATTGTAAGAAATGGTTTGACGGGCTTGTTGGCCTAATGGTAGCAATATATGGCTCATCAACGGGTCTAACAGGTTGATAATTTGTCGTAAATATGTTGAACTTCGTCTGGAAATCGTGATATTAGATAGGTGGTTCGAATTTCGAAATTCAGCCCGGGTGCGAACCACCGTCCACAGATGAAAAAGCCGTGAAGTTTAATCACGTTTCGATTTCAGTCTGTGGATTTCCGAATATATAAAGCCAAAAATATGGCTACGGTATTTTAACTTCCGCCAAGTGAACCCTGAATATGCTTGTCTGTCCGAAAATTGATATTTTTGCTAGTAAGATTATTCAGAACTACGATAATCGCTATTATTAAATTTGTTCCAACTAATGCTGAGACTAACGTCCGTATACGTAAATGTAAAACTCAAGTTTCTATGGGATTCTGGGAATAAGTACCGTTACAGTTGGCATCACAAGATAGCGACGATAACCTGAACCGGTTACCTATACAAATATAAGACGATCATATAACGTAATAAAGACCGTTTCGTGTCTTTATCTAAAAATTGATATCCTATTAACTAAGGACAAATTATTCATACGCGTTTCGGTCCCAGGCCATATATGTAGACGAATACAATCATTATTATTCTTAACTCGCTTATAACGAGAATTACCGAATTTACTCGTCACTAGAATAAATTACGCGTGGAAGTATCAAATACTGAAAACTCGCCGGTTTTCCGGTCATTGCGCATTCATTGAGCGGACGATTCTACATGATTTTAAATCCAGCGCCCGCGCCGGCCCATCTCAGCCAATGACGTGAGGACAAAATTGCGCGAAACCACCGTTCGTGTGACATGACTCACTTTCCTGTGACTACACGTAATAGTTCCGATAAGATCTTCGCTTGATCCGCGACGAGGCGCATACATCGAGCGTCGATGTGTAGACGGTGTATATTAAAACGTGCTCCACGCTTTCTATTCGAAAGGGCCGGAAAGAAACGTACCTGACAAATGACAATAGAACGGAAGCGGGTACCGACTCAATTTTTTGCGGTAGCTGACATTAAGGGCATTACACGGGGGCCGTATTTAATACACTGTTAGCTTACCTTTTAAATAATTACAATTTAATATTAAAGATATGTTAAGGAAGATCGTAACGTTGTTTTCAACATACAAAGTCAATAACGAGCGTCGCAAACAAGGGCCGGCCTAGATGAAGGGAGCGGCGACGCACGACATCGCGTGCAGTTTTGCGCCCGCACACCACCGACCTACATTTTATGCGACACCAAATACATTATGCACGACACATTAATCATTTCTTGACTCGGTTAAAATTTGCACATGTGAGACGATCCCTCGCCGGCTACCTGCGAAAATACAGCACAAAAAGTGCACACAAACAAAAACGTCGGGACCGGCCGCGGATCCGTCGACGTAGGTGTCTGGATTTCGGGAAACAAAACAAAATAGTGGCGTGAAGAAGACAAAGGGATACGGGCGGCAGGTCGATAGAGTGAGAGGTGGCACGAGAGTCGACGTAAACAAACCGCGGTCGGGTGCTTCGACCGCACTTACCATTTCGGGGCTCGCCGGATCCAGGACGTGCAGAAGCGGTCGCGGTAGTGGAGAGAGGGGGCGTCGTCGCAGGGTGGCCGGTCAGCACAAATACACACACTTAGTTTGGTCACACGATGAGCGGTCGAAAACGACGTCCCGTCCTACACTACGTTCGCGGCGCGCGCCAGTGCAGTCGACGTCACCGCATCCCGCTCCCGACTGGCGAGTGGCGGAGCTCGGCGCGAGCGAGCGACGACCTCGCTGCACCGTGCAACGTCCCGCGCGCCGCCCTCCGCCGCGACCACAGTCGACCACGCCGCCAGTTCGTCTATACGATCGACCGCAAAACTACCCCTTTCTCAAATGTACTTTCAACGAGTAGATAAATCACAAAATCATGTAAATTCCTTTTACACTTGCAAACTCAATCCGTCCTATTTCTTTATAAGAAATCTATGAGGCCGAACCCTGTTTAATTATATTATTGTGAGTACATACATTTAAATAGCGTTTGAACACGTCTTAAATGCATAATTTTTAGTTAATGTTAAAATACACTTTCGGACGCAGCGTTCCAATACAGACGTTTACACGAATGTAACTCTGTAATGTTTTGACATTTATTTCATTGAAATATTGTTCGCATATCAACTGTGGATAAGCTCCCCCCCCGGCAGCCCTACCGCTTCTCCCCGCGCTGGCCCTACGCACGGTGAATCACGACATAGATAGAATTTTCGTCTCTAAGCACTAACTCACCTACTTTGAAACACTGCACTGTACTGTTCACTTATCTAACCAGACATGCTAAAAAAGGTATTTTGGCAAGCAAGATATTTTATTTTGCTTCAAATAGGTAAAAATAATACTATATACTCTGGAACTATGTAATAACGAACATGAAAAATAAATAAATTTAAGATACCAACATTTCTTCACAGATTTTAAGATTCACGATTCCCGACGTTTCGGATGCTTTGCAGCAGCCGTGGTAACGAAGAGTCTCCCCGTCGAAACGTCGGGCCGAGTTAAAAATCATTTCCAAATAAGTTTAACTAATATATCGCGTTTTAAACCGTTAAAGTGTTTTATTTAAATGTGTACTACTCGCGTAAACTATAGACAGTATTTAATATATAATTTCGAAATATTGTTCAGTTAATTACTGGTTAAAAAAATATGTAAAAAATAAGGTCTTAGCTTCCTTTAACACCACATCATATTCTATAGACCTATAAATTTTAAAATAAATATTACTAAGAGAACATTACCTATTAGTCTTATTGCAGAGGTTGAAGATTAACGTTTGATGGTGAAAGAATATCAGTAAAAAAGAGCTATAGATAAAACTCTTCCTAATAAAATTAAGAGTGTTTTTTTTACATTTGACATACATATTATACATTTAGTCATTATGCATACAAAAGTAATTAGTACTCTCATAATCCCCCAGATGACACCAGCAACGAGTGACACAAGGAAGTGGTACTTTCTATTAAAATTAAATGGTACGAGCCATGTAAAAAATCTACATAAGATTTTTTTTGTATATTCCTCCCATTTCTTCAATACCCCTCTGACCACCGCTTCTGCAAAGCATCCGAAACGTCGAACCATAGTTAAAATAAATAAAAACAAAGTTAATTAATATATTTCACGTTTTAAACCGTCTGAAATGTTCTATTTAAAAGAATTTCAAAGAATAGGCGTTTCTTCGCTGTTCGCCTTGAAACAATCTGTTTTTGTAAGTTGCCAAGGCTTAGGAGTCGAAGAATACAGACGTAATGAGAAAATTCCAAACATTAGTTGTTCTTTTAAGGAAGAATTAAGCGGCTTGTAAGACGCGCGGCATCACTATTAGGAAAGAGAGATTTTCACATCGAATGCTTCTTAAATGCCAAAGTGGTAGCTGGTAAGAAAACCTATCTTTCATACCAACTCACTTTATTACCTCAGTCTGCGAAGGGATGACTGAATAACAGAGTTAGGAGAATGGTCCCAAACCAGCAAACGTTTCACTTTCAACAACTATATTTATTTATTAACTTATATCATTGTAATTTGCTCTGTATATTTTTTTTATAAACCAGGCGGAAAAATTTTATTGATTTAGAGTAAATATCATTTTTTTTATTTCATTCAGCTATAGTAGTTGATGGTGTTTGATAATTATTTTTTATTTTATTAGTGTGTTTCTTAGAACAATTCCGATTCCATTTAATTGAAAACAAAACACTGCTGTGAATAAAATCCTATAGATAAATGCAGTTATGACTATTTCTGGAATTAAAAATCGATTTATATTAATAAAAAAAATTAAAGTAGACAGGATTTGAACCAGCATCCACGACATTCCATGCTGTTGCTTTAACTAATTGAGCCACTGGCTACTGGCTTGAGCTACTAATCTAAAATCGATTTTTAATTTATATAGTGTCATTGTGTGTTATATTAAAGATTTTTATTCTTGGAATGTTCACACCTTCATCGTGCAAGGTGCATATTTGCACACCCTCAATTAGCCTTAAGCATTTGAAGTCGGGGATTCGAGTCCCAAGAGATCAAGGTGAGCTTTTTTTACATATAAAACTACTACGAGTATAATTCATGCATCACTAACCAGTCAAAAGCATTATAGTGGTAGTAACATAATCCAAGTCCATATAAGAATAGTGGATCCTTCCAGTTGTCCTGCTCCAAAGCAAAGAACTTCTGATATGCTGACATTGCTGGAAAAAAAAAATTGATACATACAACTGTCTACTGATAATACAATACTAATATAATCACTGGATTATAAGATAATAAATTTTGCATAGAAATATGGCCCAAGTTGACAGGAGCTGCATGTAATAGATAACATCAAAAAGCAGCATATTTATAAGACTAGAACTTGAGCCAGAAATTTTGATATACTAATTTTCCACCATATGAGGTTGCTAGAGGCAGAGTGGTGTAATAACAAAAAAAAATAGTAAATAAGGAGGAAAATAAAAATATAAAATTAACTTTGGGGTAAATGAATTTATACTTAATATTTGTGTAATAACTATGTTAACGATTTTCGTTGACTGTGCTTTTGTAGATTAATATTTTTAGACTATAGAAATATAAATAAGGCAAGTTATAAAAGTGCAGTTACCCTGCATCTGGCTCAAGCCCTCAAATGTCACTTGGCCTCTTGTTGCAACAATAACTGACAGTACTACAGTTTAACCACAATTATCTGGCCCTATGATTTACATGGAAAAGTAGCTTTACATATATCTTTAGCCATAACCAGGAGTAACACTTCATAGTTTAGAAGTTATGTGTTAATATGTATTAAATGAAAAATATATATTGGCAAAAATTGGCTTGTTATTATGAGTTACATAATGTGTAAGAATAATTTTTATTACTATTTCATGATTAAGCTGAGATTTTGTATACTATGATTTTAAATTGTATCTCCTTGTAATCTTTGATATGTTTTTCCTATAAATGCACAACATAGTATTATAAAATACAACATATGGCACTGATGACAGATAAAGACAGATGTACTTTCTATAAATAATATAATAAAGTGGTATACACCTAGTGAGAATAAAAAGAAAGAAATTATTTCTTTAGTTCTATTGCTGCACATACACAGACTGACCTTGCACACATTATAAAAATCTCTCTTATATACTAAGAAATTGTCTTGAGGAAAATAGAAAACTAACAATTTACCTTTAGCATAATCTTCTAGTAATAGGTGAAAATGTCCTAGTTTACAGTATGTTTTAGGATCTATACAAATATCTCTTCGAGCTCCGGGTGAGCAAGCTCTTTCTTCTTCCTATAATAAAAGAAAATAAGATCTCAATGATTATTGTATTTAATTCTTGCATTTAGAATTATTGGAAATATTAAATTTAATAATATTTTGGGATTTTAATAAAATTTTGAATAGAGCTATAAAAAAATGATTACCTTAACTTGTACCAACATCCCCTCCAAATATTTGACAGCCTTAAGTACCAATGCTCTGGTTCGACCATGTTCATTTCCTCTCAGTTTAAGGAATCCAAACTGGCGGCTGAAACGAAAAAATAAACACTATGATATTATAACACATTTTTTTATTTAAATCTACATAGATATTTTTAAAATTTATTTAAATTGAATGAAGCACATTAGGAGATCTTTGTATTAAGAATATTGTGATAATAAGTTCTTCAAGCTTAGATTTTCCATATTATTTTCTCCAAGGGTTTATGTTACATGCAATTAAAGAAGTTCCTATGAAAAACCTAATATTATTCTAACAATAACATGAAGGCGGCACCTGTCAAGTTCAGATAACACTTGTAACTCCTGAGAGGTTAAATGTAATTCCTCCTTCTCATCCATCTTCATGTAAACAACCAATAATCTTGGTCATTAAAATTTCCGACAAAATAAAAGGTAAATGTACCGATATCCAATTATTTTCCAGTAACAAAAAGTTATCCGAATCAACATTTAGCAACTTGAATATTAATTATTGTTATGTTGTCATCTGTCAGCCGTCAAATTCAAAACAGGTAGATGCGTAACGTCATAGATAAGGCAGGCAAGTACTGTTATCACCAAGGTTCAGTGACAAAATACTCTGTGGACCACGTTTCAATCTATATATTATCTGTATGTACCTTCTACAAATGACCCAGATTAGTGATGCCTAGATCGCGATTCGAATTAAGTGATACATTTGAATCAAAACGAATATACAATATATTAAGTGTGATAACAATCAGTAAAATCGTTTGGAATAACAATATGTTTGGAGACGTTTCGAGCACTATACGCCTAATTTGGACGGAAATAGTGTAATATGATATATGACTGTATGATATACTTTTGAAAATATAATTATAAGGTATCCGCTCACCGTACAATATAAGATTTAAATTGTAGTCAGTAAATCAGATGATTATAAAATCATCGATGTTATTCGAGTTATGAAGAAAAATCGAATCAACATTTGAATCGATTTTTCAACGATCATCAGTCGAACCATTCGACTCAAATGTAATTTCAGTCCATCACTGACCTAGATTAAGACTTCTGTTTCACAGCTATTATTTGTGAATTTAAATATAAATTTTATCCCCATCAACATTTTATTTTTAGTGCGCACTTTTTTTCACGTTCTTCTTTAGTTCGCGTACAGTTTTAAGTTATAAAAAAATATAGATCCTGCAAAAAGACTAGGATCAGTGCAACATGAGTTATAGGGATTCCGTAAGTACCTATTTTAATAAGTGATGATTGTATTAAATATCATTTTTATTTCTATCTTTAAATTCAATTCGCTTAGAGACGAATATAACAATAATTGGGAAACTATTTTTAAAGCGTTGGTCATCGAGTCAAGGCCGTTTTAGAGCAAAGTGGACGTATCATTTTTCTGCGACGTAATTATTATTAATATGCTATACTGCTCATATAAACATTGCAACTTTAAACTAATTCTTTATATCATTAATTGACAAAAGAAAAAAATACAACCATTCAATTATTCTATAGCACAGGCAATTTTTAATAGGTAGAGTTGTATTGTAGTTAATCCTTTGATTAAGTAATAAAATATGTTTGGTATATAAGGGATGATAACGGTATATAACCCTCTCACAGCAAACCTCTTAAAAATTTGAAGTGGGGTTTTAGATGCATTACATGACTTCTATGTACAATTTATACAATCAAATTAGGAGTTGATAACGCTTGTTTTTGTCTACGCCTAAAATATAGGTAGGTACTTAAATAAATAAATAAATAATAATACTTCCAGTCGTATTTTTTTAAATTTTTATTTTATTAAATTTTAATTAAAATACGTCACGATCCACTCGCTGCTGTAATCCTATTGTACATTTCCTCCAAAATCCTACAAAATCGTAATCGTAAAATAGGGAGATATTTTGGATTTACATTATCTATAAATTAAATATAAACCTTTTATTGGCAGTATTCTCTATACCCAAGATACACATACAGTGCCTCTAAAGATCTTCGAGTAGGATCACACCTAAGATGTCCAAGGGTATTTATTATACTATAGTAAATGTGTGGATTTTATTTTTTCTTTCTTTGTTTTTTTTTTTAATCTCTTTTTTTATCAAAAGCATTATGCTCTTCTTGCGAACAACGAAAAATAAAAATGCAATGAAATTTACTGTTCTCTAGTAGAATATTTTTCACTAGCGTCCCATTAAAACCTAAATTAAGACTTTGGTCAGATCAAAATGAAAACATTTAAATATTACATTTGTTACTAAACTGCCTCGCCTTACATCTCTTATTATTTTTTGCAGATGTATGGAGGGTCACAATCCGTGTTAAGCTCTATGTCTACTTTCCGATCTAGAGCATCGGACGGGATTTCATATACTCCCACACCAGATCTCAATGAAGTTTATCCTGGATTATTTGTAGGAGACGCGTAAGTTACATTATTGCTCTTTTTAACCGGAGGGAAATGATGAAACATTCGTGGTGTACCTTACATTGCTCTCAAAACTTTTTGGCCGGGCTGAAGTAAGCGCGGATGGTTGCGTAGAATGCAAAAAGCAGGTAACAGTTGCAAAAAAGGGGTTGCGCGGGTGTAGTGTCACTTACTTAAAATTGACAGTACCATGCGCAAAATGGCGGTCCCGCTAACTTCAGCTCAGCCAAGAAGTTGAGTGAGTATTGTATGTGCGTATTGGTAAACCGGCCTCGATAGATTTTCCCCAAAGAAAATGAATCAATTGGCGCTAAATAAAAATAAGGGTCTAGTAATAAATTTATTTTGAATTCATGATTCTTTTAGCGTTGCTGCAAAGGATAAATCATTTTTAAGGCGTATGGGTATCAACTATGTTCTCAACACAGCAGAAGGGAAACGGTACACCCAAGTAGACACAGACCACTTATATTATCGTGATTGTCCTGGTCTTCATTACAAAGGCTTTCAACTTATGGATCTTCCATCTACTGATATTTCGAAATACTTCCATATTGCTGCAAATTTTATTGATGATGGCATATCTAGAGGTGGTAAGTCTAGTGTTTATTCATTTTTATTGTTATCGTTGTTACTGCTTTATTTTCCCTGAAAACCTACTTAACAATTAAAGAACAAATTACTATAATTAAAATATAAATATTTACTAATATATAAACCTCAAGAGTTTGTTAGTTTGAACGCCCTAATCTCCGACACTACTGGGTAGAATTGAAAAAGTATTACTGCGTTAGTTGGTTGGTGGCGTTATCCAGGAAGGCTGTAGGCTGTAAAACATCGCGCTATGACCGCGGGAAGAGAAGCAAAAAAACGGGGAATAATTTTTATCCTTATGGGATTCCGTTGCGTACGCGGTAAAAACGGTTCTAGATGTCCAAAAATTATGTATAAAATAATGATTCCTCTTTAAATGATCTATAAAATGTCTGACAGTATATGATTATCTTTTATGTTTAACTTGCAAAAACGACGGGACGCCTACGACGTCGTGGGTAACAGCCTAAATTTATAGAGTAGAATAAGAGATTTTTTAAAATAAAACACTTTAACGATTTAAAACGCGATATATTAGTTAAACTTATTTGAAAATGATTTTTAACTTCGACCGGACGTTTCGGATGCTTTGCAGCAGCCGTGGTCACGGGGAGACTTAGAATAAGAGGTTTTCAAAAACAAATTTTGATGACCACTATTCTCGCGGACGAAGTCGCTGACACAGCTACACACAGTTTTCCTTATATAACAATTATTCACAGGTCGCGTCTTGGTGCATTGCATGATGGGTGTATCACGTTCAGCAACGTGTGCCATCGCCTTCCTTATGTTAAAGCGAGGTATGACGTTAGCTGAAGCTCTGGCTTTAGTACGATCGCGCCGTGACATCCACCCAAATGAAGGTTTCATACGTCAGCTCCAAGATCTGGACAGAGAACTGCGTGTGTGCAGGGTTCGCTGACAGCACACCCCCCTCGAACCTTCTCTCAGTTTCCCATACAACTTCAGCAGTCAACATCTACGAGTACGGAGTTTAGACAGAACTTATACTAATCGCTATCATTAAATACGTCACTGGAAATGCGGTGAATAGATAACTCGTCCACTAGTATTGGGCTATAACTAAAACCCATAATATAACATCTTGGGTCTTCGAGCTGTCTGGCCTTCGTCGTGGAGATGTAGTTCATAACTTAATACTTATGTGGACGACGTCATCAAATCAGACTGAAGAAGGTAAAAACCGACAATCGAAGAGTTCGAAAACCAAACTACCTTTGCAAAATGGCCGCGAAAGTCAAATAGGCCTTATATTGGTAACAATACAGTTTCTCTCTGCACTCAGTAGGTATTGAGATTCGTTATTACAAATTATATGTCAATGAAATGTATATTTTAATGAAATTCTATTTATGTAGGTAATTGATTTGAACATATTATACATATATATTTTAGATACTAAGTACTTGAAAGCCAAGATGAGCTTCAACTAAAACATTAAGTAGTACGTACATTAGCCTTATCTGTTATCTAGTCATGGTTATAAATGAGGTTGCTGCAGAGTGGCTTTATAACGAAAAAACATGATCTTCAATAAGAAGGAAACTAAAAACGTGAAATTAATTTAGGCGTAAATGAACTTGTACTATTATTTGGGTAAGAATTATGCAAACACTTTTCGGTTACTGTTCTCTAGTAGATTAACATTTATAAAGTATAAAAATATAAATAAGTCAAGTCATCAAATTTCAGTTAGGCTACTCTGCCTCGAGCGGCCTCAAATTGAAGTATAGTTTTGTACGAACTATTTAACCAAATGAATTTTAACCCTGAGAGCACCTACTTTTGTTGCTTTTTGCAGTGTATTAATATTCTCAAGTGCCATTTCTTAAGATTAATCAAACATTGTAGGTAATGATCAAAGATCACAAAAAGTAATAATTTGCCTTTTTAACTATAGTACAAGTTAAGCCTTAAAGGAATATTTTATCAGTAACAAACATATATACATATAGCTAAGTATGTTTTATATAAAAAACAAGCTTGATGTAGTGAACCAAATAATGTACTGTAATTACCACACCTGTTACATTATAACTTATGAGTTATGGTGCTAGACCTAACTATGGGCATTTGGTGTCAAAATGGAACCTTATTCTAAGCATCACTGTAGACACTTGCTGTTAGGTGGTTGAGTAATTTTTATGTTAATGGTCTCTGTCTTTAATATATGTATATCAAGGTTTAAAATTAGGCATTTTGCCAAGAGCTATTCTTTGTTAGACTTGAACTAATTAAATACTTTGAAAATACATGTGCCATGAGTCAGTACTCAATTCTTTAATTATAGATCATTGTAGTAAGTACTGAGTGAATATATAAACAGATTATTTGTATAGATTCTTCAAAGGTACCTTGATATAGCTTACCAAAATGAAATAGTTTTACGATTAATTAGCCAAAGATTTTCTGCAATTATAGGAGTGACTGTAACATGTTGAATGTTTGTTTTTATTACAATTAAAGCATTTTGTGCTAGTACTGTAAATCTTGTATTTATTTATGTATATTGTAATGGCATCAAAGTATAGATTTCTTATGAGAAAACTTAACTTTTTTATTTTCTGAATCTGAAGAAATCTGTATACTGCGTTTGTTGCATCTACATATTGAAGTATTGTTATATACTCATAGAACCAGATGATATTTTTTTAAATAATTGTTTCATAAATACTATTCCTAAGTATAATTGTTTTGTAGTTAAAACATATTATGCAATCTTTGCCTTAATTTAGACTTTATAGAAATAAATTTTACATTTAATTACGATTACATAATGTAAAAATTATCTAAATGTTACTCATGCAAATTAAACCACTCAATATATTTTGTTAAACAACAGATATAAAGTAAATAAATATGAAATAACTATTTAAATTATAGTACCATGTATCAATAGGTGCAAAATATAATATTAATACCCCTATGTTATTTTAATGATTTTTACAGTATAAATATATATTTACCAATTACCTACTATATATATTTCGCAAAATAAATGCATGTTTTAAACATTCATTATATTTCAATAGTAATCAGGAGAAATATTTAGTAATAGTTTCACTCAAAAATACAATAAAAATTGCAGACCCATTTTCTCAGAACCTGGAATTGGCTTTGAAGGCAAAGGCAAAAATATTATATATGATGGGAATAAATAAATAAGACAAGGTGTTTTAAGTAAATATAACTTGTGAGTTTGTAAGATCATTATGCAAATGATGCCTGAGAAAAAAAAACTTGTTAGCTTACCCTTTTTGGGTTTGAAATGGCAATTGTTCCATATATTACATAGTCTATAAAAAAAAATCTTGCCATGAGAATTCTTAATGTTTTAATAGATGGGGTAAACAATTATAAACAGATAGGAAAATATATAGGTTTAGTTTCCATAGATAAGTTTAGTAACTGTGTTCTTAAAAATATCAAACAAAATTGTTTCACCAGTCTTGCACATCTCGTTTCCCTGTAAGCTTTCTTCCTTAAAACTTTCTTTGATCTTGGGTTGTCTGGAAGAGATTGCTGCGTTAGCGATACGGCAGCCCATTGCACTCCATATTTTTAGTATATAAGTCTTTTGTTCATATATTTATGCAATAAATAAATAAAAGTATAGGTTATAAGGAGTATATTAATGTATATTATACAAACTAGAATTATAAGCTACGCCATGAAATTAATCAAATTTTTATAAGTAAGGCCTGTTCATTTCTGTTGTCTTCGCTCTCTTATCCCTAGATCTTGGAAACCAGCGGTGTGTTGTGGTCAGAGTCATTGAGGACAACTGTTGTCTTGCAAATTCTGGTTTCATCTCCTTGAATACACGTTTCACTTCACTATAGTCAGACATCCGAAGAACTGACTTATCTTCGTTTGTCTCTTCGGGTAGTGGTTGAGATAATTCGTATGGAAATTCATTTTCCTTGTGTAGAGCTACGATCGTAGACTTGTCAGCAGTCAAGGCAATTTTTGTAGAGAAGTTGGCTCTAAGAGGTTTTGATTTAAGATACGATGTGCTAATCCTTAAGAAACTCATTTTATTTAATATACCGTTCATTGAAATGTGTTGACAACTATTTCATTATATTGATATCTCCAGATTTTATGTTATGACATAAGAACATAACCTATGCACGCAATTCTTACACCATAGAGTATCTTTATATAAGCTATTTTACCACAGTCTATATGCGATGCAAAGATCCTCAAGAGTCTAAATTTGCGAAGCTGTCTAAGAATGATATTATGTTGAGATATGTGTTCGGCTTTTATTGACAATTTAATTTACAATTTTTTATGTAAAGATGGATCCATCTCATGTTAAAAGGTAAATCTATATAAAAGGAGTGTTATTCTTAGACAGCTTCTCAACTTTGCCGCTAGAGGCGCGCGGGTATTCTATGGTTCGCGAATTATGTCTGTTATATTATTAGTCGTCTATGTTCAGTTTATTTTTTAATTGTCCGCTGTTTTTCAATCTTAATTATATGTTAAGTAAAATACTATTATATTTTTAAAATGGAATTCCCAACTACACCTTCAAACGCATCAGACAGCAATGAGTATTCTGGAACAGGTGCACAATTCGATTTATCTCATGACAACAACACAAAACGACGAAGGTATTCCATAATACATTATACATTTCATGTAATCAAAGCACAAATAGTTAATTTCAATTAAACAATTTCCAGTTCTTCTCGATCAATAAAACGTAGACGATTCGACGATGAGCTTGTCGAGTATAGTTTGGGTTTGCCGGGTGCTTCTTTGGGTAAAGGGGAGAAGAGAATTCGTACCCAATCATATACAAGCCAGTTGCCTGAATTTCCTTTAGTGGCTCCATCCACACCAATCGCCGTATTACCTGAGAAACGTAAATCCTCAAATAAAGTGTCAGCAGGCAGCTTATCCCGGAAATCGCGCCGTAAGGGTCAACTTAGTCAACTTTCCACAAAAGATTTGGGGCGATGGAAACCAACAGATGATTTAGCTTTAATACTAGGAGTCCAACAAGTAAGTTTATCTCTTAACCATTATTTGTGATATCTAGTATATCACATCTCAACTTAAAAAGGTTGTGTTATTTTAAGTTTTTGTTCGTATTATTAACTTATACTTATTTAAACTGGTTAATTATAAAAAATGAAATGTGTTACCACAGTGTCAAGGTTATGGGTGTAATTCCCCGAAAAGTAATAAACAGAAATCTAATCAAGTACCTGTCTGCAACTAAGAATTGATTAGACCCATGCCCCGAAGGAAGAAACAGTTATCACTTTTCTTTTATTTTTCTATAAGATTACTACTTCCTTCTTACATTATCTTCATGTTAATTTCAGACAAATGACTTGAGGACAGTACATCGTGGAGTGAAGTTTTCCTGTCGTTTTACTGTAGCTGAACTTCAGTCCCGTTGGTATGCACTACTATATAATGCTGAAATATCTAGAGTGGCTGTAGCAGCAATGAGAAATTTACATCCTGACCTTGTAGCCGCAGTGCAACAACAGGCACTTTACTCTACAGCAGAAGAAGATTTACTTGGAACCATAACAAGTGTAAGTTGATGTATAGCCGATAACCACTTTATTTGTGAAGTATTCTAAGATTTTTTCAATTATTAAATTATCAAGGATGGCAAGGGATAGGCTTTTCTTATGGGGATCGAGGGGATAGTAATTTTAATAATGGCAAATTAACTGTTTTTTTTTGCAACTTAACTTAGCAAGTTACTATGGATCTTTACTGAGAATAATTTTATTTATATGATTTTAGTGAAACTATAAACAAGTCTTGAAATTAATATATTGCTATTATTGCCATCATTCAGCATATCATTGTTTTTCGGGCTGTTTGGCAAAAACAGCAATCGAGGATGTAACATCTCCTGATGCCATCCGCTTGTGATAACGAAATGGCAAGAATCTCTTGTGATTTACGTCTGCCGAACAGCCCGAAAAACAATCTTATATGTCTTGAAATTATTATTATTTTTTATGACATGTCAGACAAGGTGTTTACTTGCTATAAGGTGAAATATCCCAGCCATTATCTAAATATAGCACTGTAGTCTCGATTATTAACAAGCCTTTCAAACATGCTATCAAAATAATCTTTTTAACTGTATATTGGTCTATGTAAATTTATAACTACAATACATATAACGTGTTACAGAAATCTCACCCGGGTCCAGAGAAATTTCAAGAATTATTGGAGCAGAATCCACATGTATTCTATTCAACAAGAACGCCTGAAAGCATAATGGAACATTGGCAACTTTTAAAACAATATCATTTGCTGCCGGATCAGACAGTTCAACCATTGCCTAAAAGTATGTTTTTTGTATGTTAAGGGAAGACAACGGTTTACATGATGGTAGAAGAAATACCCCAGCCATATTACATCCTAACAACATACACTGCTCTTAACATCTGTTTTGGCTTTAGACATTTAAAAATCTACAGACTAAAATCAAAACTTGACTAAACATTACACTTAATGTAATAGATTTTTTACATTTCTTGAAAACCATCCACTTTTAAAACATTATCAATTGACTTCTCTTGTCTGTCCTCTGTCCTTGTGTATATAAAAAAATATTAAATTGAAACTTTATTATGTAGGCATTCATATCTATTTATAAGCTAGAGAGTAAAAATACTCAGCAAACTGCCGTTCAGTATCTAATATACTGAAGTTATCCAAATGCATAAATGGCCCTGGCACTTATTTATTTTCTACTAGCTGTGCACGCGAACGAAGTCGCGGGCACAGCTAGTAGAATACTGAAAAAATAGTGACTTGGGGTAGAATTTTTAATTATTTAGGCTGCTTATTAATTTATGTAATTGCTCATTTATCGAAGTCAATCTATGTTGTAAGTGCTACTTTGCCGCAACATTCTCACCTCACATCACTCCCACTCTCACAAAGAAGAAAGTTTCATAGTTATAGCGTCAAAAACCACGAATTTCCATACAAACTTTCATCCCCCTTTTAATCTTTTACAACCCCCTTTTTGCAAAAAGTAGCCTATGTTTTTCTCAGGGTCTATACCATATGTGTACCAAATTTCATTCAAATCCGTTCTGTAGTTTTGGCGTGAAAGAGTAAGACAGACAGACAGAGTTACTTTCGCATTTATAATATTAGTAAGGATAAATTGTTTCTATCTTGTGTGCGTATAGTTAAAATACCTATGTGTAGTTAAAACTTCAGTCCTTTCAGATCAAGAGACAGCGATGACATTCTCTGACGCAGAAGAGACTATTAATGACTCCGAGTTGCCAAATTACAAGGAAGATGGTGTTGACATTGAAATGCAGATAGCTGATAGGTTAGTATTGAGTATTATTTCTATTGTGGGTCTCCTTTTGTTTGGTTGTATTCCGATGTTCTACAAAATAAGTATTGTCTATAGTTTATATTTAATTAAAACACTTTTAACTGTCTTCGGGACCTGTTGAGTCGTAGTTAAATTAAACTAATTAATACTAAATTTCGCGTTTTAAACCGTTTAAAGTATTCTATTAGAACAAACTGCTTAACAGTAACAGGGTCTCAGGCTCATCGGTCTGATAGTGGTATTGCATGGCTCGACTGGTCTTCAGTTTGTTTCCTATCAGGTCCAACATCAGGTTTTAGACATAAATCTACTAGTCACTTGAATCTGGACATTAAGTAAGTGGTAAACATCGACATGTCAGTCCTGGGCACAGATAGAAAAGCCGTAAAGTGTAATTCGGTTTCAGTCACTGAATGTTTCACTTTGCCTTAAGTGACCCTTATGATTCTCTCTCTGTCTTACAAACAATGATTGGGAGGCCAGTCTACCTCCTTACTTAAACAATAATTACTTATGGGTACATTTTTTAATAACTGTTCTCTTTTACGATTTAGAATCGAAAAGAAGGATATAAGACTACTAGAGAACTCGATGTCTCGCTGGCAAGTCCTCGTGCAGTCCGTAGCTGGTGGGAACGTGGAGCTGGACAAGAATACACTCGCAGTTCTTCGCGGACGTCTGGTTCGATATCTGATGCGATCGCGAGAGGTAAGTGCCTGTTTAATACTAATTTTGACCTGGAGTCATTTTGTCCACGCAATTAGTTCCTTTCAAATAAACGGAGACTATATAAAACACTATACAAAAACACTAATAGTAAATTTGTTTTTTTTTTTCTTTTATTTAGATAAAATTACAACATACTTGTTTGAATTTGGTGTTGAATGAAATGAACCTTGTTCGAGGAATAAAATATAACATTAATTCAATTGTCATCCAAAATATAGTCGACTTTAAAAGTTTATCAATAACATGAGAACTTGGAAAGTATTGATAGATGTCCAATATTAGATTGGTTAGTTCATTTGCATTATATAAACCTTATTTTTTGAGGCAACCTAAGGTTTGTCGGTGTTTTCGTGCTTAGAAAGTCTGACGTAAGAGACAATTGATATGTTGTATATGTGCTCCAGCGAAACTATCTCTTAGAACTTTATGCTATTTCATGCTATTAGCATCTGTGAGAGAAGATTATTGCTGCTTTGAATACGGGTACAGTCAATCTAAAGATACCATCCGCACTGTCTATATTTTACGCGAGTAGTAAACATTTAAATAAAACACTTTAACGGTTTAAAACGCGATATATTAGTTAAACTTATTTGAAAATGATTTTCAACTTCCCAACGTTTCGGATGCTTTGCAGCAGCCGTGGTCACGGGGAGACTAAAGATGGAGGATGTCGGGCCGAAGTTAAAATCTTTTTAAGTATCAATTCAAATAAGTAACGAATATATCGCGTTTTAAACCGTTAAAGTGTTTTATTTACAAGATACCAACCGTGCTTATGCGCTGATTTGAGTAGTAGGTATGGTAGTTGAAACTTCTCTCCAATATTATGTCTCCAATATTTATTAAATGATTTCTTTTTTAACTAAGTCAAAATACGTATTTTTTTATTTCAGTTTACTTTTTGAAGCCAGTTGATTTCGTAAAAAATATTTAATACGAAAGTATTGGAAGAATTCGAAATATCTTTTGGATAGTATATACGATTTTTAAAACTTCGACATTTATTAAACAATTTTCTATACAAAATTATTATTCAGCTAAGCAATAACCAAAAGGTTTGAAGAATATAGATGCCCTCGCGAGTAGTGAATATATAAAAATACTGCGTAAAATAAGCATTCTATAATGTTGTTTCCTTGCGTCCTTATCGTTTCCAGCCACCTCTTCCCGGATAGTGATTGACGCATTCCTGTGTAAATAACTTCATGACATCGAATATTAAAAAGGAGTACGAATAATATATTATCAATATTTTAAGTTGATTTTTGCCTTCGAAAATATTAGTCTTTAATCTAAACCAGTATTAGATTATTAGTAGCGTTGGTTGAGGGTTCGATTCCCACCTAGTCCGACATTTCTAGTTGATTTATATTTTTCCTTAAACATCTTGGACTTCGTCTGGAAATCGTAATATTAAACGGGAGGTAGAAAATGTCATAAGCCCGATGAAGTAACGGCGAAGTTTAATTGCGTTTCAAATTGGGTCTACGGATTTCCGAATATCCAAAAAGCCTAAGGTCGACGGCGCATACGCTAAAAATATATAACATAAGGTCCCTATTACACCTTCAAGTGAACTTCGAATTTTGTTTCTCTATCATTAAAAAAATGGGAGGGAACTCCTCTTTGAAATAATATTAAATCCAAATGGGCCGGAGTGAGATATAACATCTGACCTATGATAAATAATTGGCTTCAAAGGTCGTCTTTTTGTGTCATTGTCAATTTTGTGTATGCTCTATCGCTATGGTGACAGTTGTTTCGATCACACGTGCTTAGTTAGAGTGTGTGTACATATAGCTTAGCGGTTTCCCTCCTTAGTATTTAAGTTTAATTTATTTATTATGAAACTTATTAGTTCGCATTAGGATACATTAAATAATACATTATTATTAATACAAAATTTACTTTTACTCTTTAATAATTTCTTAATTTTTCTTTTTGTAAACAACGGTTGCCTGAACGACATCGCCATAAATAATAAGGCCGCCCTTACACTAACTTTTTGACGTATATAGTAATTTATCCCGCTTTACGCAAGGAATATGTTCTGGAAAAAAATTCGCGTATAACGCGTATATACATCGACATTTAATACATACTATTATTAATTCTTTCACGGAACTTAAATAAAATATAAGGGATTATTTATATCTATATTAATATTATAGATCTAAATATTTTGAACGCGCCAATCACAGGAACTACAGGTTCGAATTAAAAAAATATTTTCGTGTTGCTTGGACCATTTGTCGAGTAAGGCTTAACATAACTATTCCACGTTGAGGAGCTAGTTATTATTTATATCACCCCATGCCTGGGTATCGAATGAGGACTTCGGTCCCGACTTCGTATCACGGCCAATCAAAATATCTGAGTCAGGTAAGACAAAAGGTTTTTACTCAAAATTAATCTTTAAAGACGGACATATACTATCACGGACATTATTTTAAACCATTTCGAGAGAAATCATTCTTTTCTATATGTTAACAAAAAAAATTGTTTTGGAATAGTAGTTCCTGAAATTCCCGCGTTCAAAGATACAAACTCTTTAGGTTTAATGTTTGAACGCAGTATAGATATAAAAATATATACCTCCTTAATAACAAAATCAATATCGAAGGACGTGCTTCACTGACCTGATTACGCCAAGGACAATGTCTCTGTCATGCCCGATGCTACTGTGATGACATAGTTGTTTACTATGGGCATGTTGTACAAGGGAATTTAAACGCTAGCAAGATATATAAAAATTATTAAAGTACTTAACGATATTAGCACACATTTCAATAAAACACCTTTAACAGTTTAAAACGCAAATTATATTAATCAACTTATTTTTAATTTATTTTAACTACCGTATAGCTGCTGCAATGTATCAAAAACGGGCGCAAAGTATTTTTCGCGTTTTAGACCGTTAAAAGTGTTTTATTTAAATGTGTAAACTTAAGACGTTACACGATTCATAGTTTTTCACATATACTCAATGCAATATTAGGCTTCGTTTCTCTTGAAATTTTACAACTGAAAAAAATTAAGACTTAGAACAAGATGAATCAAGAGAACAAATGTTTGTTACAAAAGTTTATTTTTAATTTAAAAACATATTCTAATACTAATACTGTTACCAAATATTGATACAAGTTGTGTACAATATTCCAAAGAATTTTGTATTGGATAATTATTGTTTTGTATTGCAGCTGTATTGTGTTCTCGTGTTTACACAACGGCACCATTGTTTTACGACACTTTGGTTCGCATTCAAAACATTATGATCGATCCGACGAAAACGGGCTTTTGTAGAACTCTGTCTATGTCCGGTGTATCTTAGTTTATATTGCCAGCAAAATTCGACGGTACGTAGTTTTGTGAGTATACATTTACTGTCGTTTTAATCTGTTAAAGTCGCAATGCTGGACTCACGTCTATCGCATAGAAGTGGGATTTAAGTAAGCTACTGCGTTTGCGGGTTTTAACGACTTCGGCCACAAAGCAAGAGGTGCTTTTCCAAACACCTTTTTGTAATTGATGGTGTGAATGCACACGCCCACGTCATTCTGGGGAGTGTGGTATCACACTCGTAGTGTTCGATTTGGTAGTACCAACTCTACCAGGGGCGAGAGTCGACCAGAACCACTAAACACACCGCCGGTTCCGGTGCTTTCTAGGGAGTCCGAGGTACACCTTTGTACGACTCTAGAACTCCAGCAGCTTTTTGAGATAAGCTGAAATTTGGGAAGACTACTTTCTCCTTATTTGGGGTGTTGACATTTAGAAGTGATCAAATACCGAAGAAACATTTTACCCGAATCGAGATTTGAACCAAGGGCATCGTGTTCTGTCCTCGAGTGGTTAGAGCACTTGGTTTATGAACTACCCTCGTTCATAAAATAATTGGTAATAATTTCTCAATTTGACCACGCGCGCGTAACGGAAGCCCCCAAAGATTAATATTTTTTCCCGTTCTTTCTACCTTTTCCACTGTGTCTTCGCTTCTATTGATCGCAGGGTGTGTATGGACGACTGGCAATTCGAACCATTAGTTCCTGTGATTAGCGTTAAAAATAAAAATCTTCAGCTATATAATATTAGTATAGATTTCGCTGTGTTCGTTGTTTTCCGTTTTATAGTAGCTGTATAAAAACTTTATGGTGTAGATAACGCGCCGCAACGTTAAAAAACTAGCGGCACAAAAATATTTTGTTTGGTACTCTTAAAAAGTATCGGTTTATTGCCTTCACTAACACCGGATGTCAGTCACTAACGACAATTTCTAAACTTTGTGTTGTCATCTAAATGGAAACAAAATTGCTGATGACAACACTGATACGATTTCTGTATAATTATTATGAAAAGGGTCACAGCTATCAGTAAAATGCACATGGCGTCTGCCTCAACGTGAACATGAAGAAGTTTGGGGTAGACGCAACTAATTCGTTAAAAAGTATATTCCCGTATCTCCATGTGGGGCATGGGGCAGACAAATTTCCGATTTTAGGTTTCAAACCGAGGACGTCTCGATTAACGCAATGCTTGGTGACATGTTTCACCATTATCTACATCTCATAAAGTAATTTCAACTCACCAGCCTATCACTACCACATATATATTATCCGTCTGATTTTTACCTACGTCCAATATCTCCAAGACACTCTACAGGCTCCTGGTGCTTTAGAACCGATTCATTCAATTTGCTACTGGAACCATCTTGGAATGCCAATATCCACGTAAACCTTGAACCTTTGTCTTTAAATCGGTACTTCAAAAAAGCGTCTGAACGCTCACTTGAGACCCGGAGCGCCTACTAAACTGCTTCCGTCACCCTCATTCTGTCGATTGTCCGTTCAGCTCTTCAAGTTCTCACAGTTCCAGCCACATCGTGGTGGTCCAAGTCGGTCTATGCCCCTTTCGGGGCACCCGTGGTAAAACCGCAAACACCATCCGGTTAGTATTTAAGACAGAGGTCCAACAAACGC